TCTGGTTTCAAGATCAATGCACATGTTTTACCTAAATAATATAAAAGATTTGATAATCTTTGCTGACTAGAGGTATATTGAAATAATATTAATAGAAAAGTTCTAAAACTAATTTATTTCTATAACGAAAGTTCTTCTGTGTGACAAGAATGTAAGTGGATATGATTGTATGAGTATGAGAGATGTATAACATACCGGATGGTTTTGGTGATGACAAACAAACGATAAAAATGCCAATGATCATTGATATGCTTGTGAACAAAACAAACATGAAGACCGTTTTCTTGGAATTTGGCTTATGCAGAAGATGCTCCGATCTAATGATGATAAATGTTAATTATACATGAAAATGAAATAAATCATACATACTGATTTGATGAAGCCCTAACGGTTTTGGAAGGAACATTAGTAATATTTTCTAAAGCATGTTGATTTTGAATTGAGTTGGAAATTCTTCTTGAATTCATATCAGAAGGTATTTGGTCATTTTGATGTTCTAATGTTAACATCTCAATATCCATAGAAGTCATTTTAATCTATAATAAAAATATTATTTTATGAAGATTTGCCGTTTAAATCAAATCAAACTGACACAATTTATTATATATTTTTCTCATTTTATTATTATAAAACTAATATTTTGGTTAATCGTCTCTATCTTCTAGTTATTGTATTAGTTTTCACTATTTATTTTCATAAGTTTTCATTTTCCCTCCTTATATTTGTTCACGAAAAGAAAACTTCATAAAACTAAAAATTCTTTATTAATATAAACATTAGTTATTGTTTAATATTTGCCTTATTATCTCGATGTATATGTATAATATTTCATAAAAATATTAGAAAAAAATACAGATGTATAATAGTAAACAAGCATAAAATTATATTTTAATAAAACAATTGAATGGGAAAGTTAACTAATAAAATAAAATAAATAAATAATGATATGAATAAAATGTATTTAGTTTATGAAAAAAGAAATATATAAAACAACGCAAAAAGCTTCATACTGATTAAAGGTGAAGTAATTATGTCTATCGAACCATGAAGCATATTTTTTTAAGTCATCAAGTAAAATAAGACATTTTTCTCATTAAAAAAATACCTTTCATACTGACGTTTAAAAACAATTTCTAGATATAAACACCCACGATATAATTTGTTCACTTGAAGAAATCAAAAATCCAGAGAGAAAAATGAATATTATTTTTTTCGAAAATATTTTTTATTACTTAATAAGCAATCTTTTGAAATCTATTAAAGTCAAACTAATATTTCTTATTATATAACTGTAGAAATATACATAATTCTTATAGTTTTTAAAAAAGAAAATTTATATCGAAAGGGATTTTAACTAACTATTACGTATTAAATATTGTATTCTCATAAAAATACATCACTCTTTAGCTGCAAATGTTTTTAACAAAAAACAATGTATTCATATTCATGTTTTTACTTTGCTTGTCATTTAATATTGTATTATTTAATAAAATAGAATAAAGTAAAACACAAATTATGATATGAATAAAATGTATTTAGTTTATGAAAAAAGTAATATATAAAACAACGCAAAAAGTTTCATACGGATTAAAGGTGAGGTAATTATGTATATCGAACCATGAAGCATATTTTTTCATGACATTGAGTAAAATAAGAAATTTTTCTCATTAAAAAAATACCTCTTATATTGACGTTTAAAAACATTTTCTAGATATAAATACCTATTATATAATTTTTTTACTCGAACAAATCAAAAATCGAAAGAGAAAAATGAGTATTATTTTTTTCGAAAATATTTATTAATTGATAAGAAATACTTTTTTTTCTTATGTAAATATTCTACAGAAAAATCAAATCATTTTCATATCATAATAATAAATCTTTTGAAAACACATTAAAATCAAATGAATAATAGTTATACGAATATCACAATTTTAGTGGTATTACATTTCTAATTATGAATCTTTATTATCATCTCTAGAATAATGTTAACCAATACTTATTATATATCTTTATAGATATACATAGTCCTTATACTATTTCAAAAGATAAAATTTCTATAGAAAGAAATTTTGACTAAATATTTTGTATTCAGTATTTTATTGAAATAAAAATACATTAATCTTTAGTGACATATACTTTTTACCAATCAATAATGCATTTATATTGATGTTTTCATTTCATCTATTATGTGTTGTTCGTAATAGTCAAATATATATTTAATTTCTATTGCTCGTATTATATCTATTCATTACCGTTTGTTTTATATGCTTGTATAAAAGAGAATAATAAATGATGCTTGAGATAATCAAAATAATTAACGCCTATTATCGAATATTATTGTATTTTGATCAAATCAAAAATATGATATAAAATTGAAGAAAAGAAAAACAAATAGGAGATATTCTAGTATTATTATTATTATTATTAATTGCACATATATTAAGAAGAAGTTGTATATATACTTATAAGCAATGAATAAATCTATTCTATTCACCTTTGATTTTGATTTCTTTTAAAATAATTAAAAATACAAATAAAAATGAATGCGGAAACCTCGGATTTACATCCGAGTGTTATGTGTACTCAAAAAAAGTCATAGGGAAATATCAGTATTTTTGCAATAACTCGGGAATGGCCCAGGCAATTAGGCTCATATTCGAACTGGACCGAGATCTAGATAAGACTAAACTGTGCACAAAATTTCAGCTCAATCGGACTATTCTTTCAAACGTTATCGTGCATACAGCCGGACGGCCGGCCGGCCGGCCACACTGACCGATTCTAGAAGTGTACTCACTTTTTTGAGTACACAAAAAGAGATTTTAATAAGTTAGATATAATCGATATTTCGTTATTGCAAAACTAAATGAAATATTTGTATAGATTTTTTGTTTTGAATACATTTTGTATTTGATACAATCTGGATAGATATTATTCATCGTTTATTTTATTTGATATATTATTGCGTCGTTTTATACTATGACAGTTTGGATGATATCTAATAGAAATAATTTATATATTCTCTTATTCTATCTCAAAATGAGTGAAGTAAACAAAATATACATGTAATTAATGAAAGACGAAAAAAAGATTTAATTATATGATAGGAACTAATATTTTTTTATACAGTCAGATACTATAAAGTAGACTATGAAAAATTTTGATTAATTAGAATGATATTTATTCATTAAAATATCATAAACGATATTTATTCATTAAAACATCATAAATGATATTTATCAGTTTGCTATTATACAATCGAAATTATATAAAAGAAACTTTCTTATTTTTTTTTTCTCATAAAAACATAATAAACTAATCTGTCTTTTATATGTTTTATATAAAATAAAAACTCTTGATAAAATATGAAATCTAATGATTAATATTTTACTAGTTTTATTTATCATTTAAAACTATACTTTTTATTTACTTGATTATTGAATATATATATACTTGAATTCAAAAATTAACTGAATAGTTTTAGACATGACATTAATTGAGTTGAAATTATCATTAATAAGAATTATCTCGAATAAATATTTATAATATTTAAATAAGTATTTTATTTCAATACAAACGAAATATTATTAATAATGAAAAGAATATTTAATCTTATAAAATTATTTCTCTATGTTGACTTTTCATATTATTAATAGAACTTAACTCTTTCAGGACGGAATTATTTTTTTGAAAAAAAATAGATTTTCAAGAATCAAATGATTCTGTTTTTTATTTAAATTTATTAATATGTTGTGTACACAATCGGATCATCTAACAACACCATGCTCAACTGTGTATGCAAGAGAATAAATCAGGAAGATACAGCATAATAGTTTAGTGTATAGAAGAAAAGAAAGAAAATAGGTCATAATTACGTAAGTTATATAAAATATATATCACTACTGTAAGTATATTCTAACGTGTACACAACTACTTCCCATCGTCAATACATAACATGTTTCTTTTAAAAAAAGACTGATATATACAGTGTACCACCCGTTCTGAAAGAGTTAAACTAAATTTTGCATTTTTTTAAATTTGATTAAGAGATTTAATTCAATTGAATGTTCAAAAGTGAATACTAATATTTATATTTACTTGTATCTTCAGTTTCATACTGAAATGTAATTTAATTGAATTGTTATGTTTATATATAAATTTTATATTTTTATTATCGTTAAAAACAGAAAAGAAAAACAAATTAATATTTGATTTTTCATATTAATTTTAATTTTCAGAGAAAAGAAGATATAAAATGCATTGATTTCTCTAAAGAGATTTTTTTCTGATATTTCCATTTGAAAGTTACATCTAAATTTTGTAATTTATATAAAGATAATCTCATATATTTACAATTAGAAATTAATTAGAAAAGAAAATGTTAATAAGAATTTTTTTCAAAAGTGCTTGTTTTCAAATACAGTACGCATCAAGAGACTTATCTCAATTTTTTATTTGACTTGTTTTTTTTTCAAAAGATGTGTTATGGTGTGTTCCATAAAGTTTGTATAAAAAAATTCCTATTAAAAAATGAAAACAGCTTCTAAATATTTTATTATAACAATCTATGGAAAAGTTTTTTGGGCAAAATGTTTGCCCATATTTTTCTCTCTTAAGAATGTTCTAGATGAATGTATACCTACGGATTATGATCAGAATTCTCCACTCTGTCACTATGTGCTCTTGTAATAAGATTTTCTTTGTGTTAGTACTTGAACTGTTCAACATATACTTCTATGATAAGTTAACTAGTCATACGCAATATCAAATAGATAGTCGGTATCTAATTTCTAAATAATATCTTATAGAAAATATGACTGCAGTAATTATGACTGTATAAACACATGTTGATGGAAAAAGTTGTTTTAGTTATGAGTTGATTCGAATCATCATAAATAAAACAAGAAAAAAAAACGAAATTTCAATCTTTAGACTTTTTCAAAGTAAAGAAAAATAAAAACAATAGCAAGATCTTTATATAAACAGAAAGATTTTCTTCATGTATAAAATAAACCGGATTGAAAACCATACTCAATAAGTTCCTCTTTTGTCATCATATATTGACTTAATTTCCATTGTTCTTTTAATTGTCGTAGAAAATGAGAAAAATGATATTTAGATATTAAACCATTCTGTTGTAAATCCCATATATCTATTGGAAATTTAGGTATCGACCATTGTTTTATATCATCAATTAAATCAATATAACCTTGATATTTAAGTAATTCAATGATGTATTCATATAGAATATCTTGTTGAGTTGAATGACTATCGATCAAAAATTCTTTATATGTATCAAGTAAATCATGATTATTTGATGGTTGAATTGAATAACGATAATCAAGTAAAAATTCACCAAGTTTTTTTTGACGTGTTGAACATTTTATACGTTTACAAAATATATCAAACTAAATATGATTAAAAAACAAATGTTTGTATTTGTATGTTGTAATTTGATTTTACTTCATCTTGATTATCAAAAAGTGTAATCAGTAATGTCATAGGTTCTGGTTGATAATTCATACATCTTAACCATCGATTTTCTAATTCATACATTTCTACAGATGAGTCTGGTAAACCTTTTTAATGAAGAAAAAAAAAAAGAAAATTATTAGAATAAATTAATAAAAAAACACCTTAGCGCACCCAATAGTGGGGCAAATTGTTGTTCAAGAATTGTTCTCATAACATGTCCAGCAAAACGACCACGAAGAATAAGTTCTAATTCACTCCAAATCTTTTCTCCAGGCACATCTATAATTATATATATATATAATATGATGATTAACTTCAAAAGTAAATAAATCTTTTCTATAATACCTTTTAAAGCTGTAGCAGATGTACGAATAGCTTCTAAAATATTAGGTTCATGTACATAAGCATCAGATGAGAGCACACCAAAGAATCTTCAATTGATAAAATGATTTTCTTTTTTTATGATTAAAATATATTAAACTTACCGAAAATAACGTAAACCACGAATAGGATTTTCTTGTAATCGTTGAATAATATTTCCATTAAAACGAATACGGTTTAGTTTAAGATCATCAATTCCATTTGTATAATCATATATAATTCCATCTTTATCCATTGATAAACTATTAATTGTTAAATCTCGCTGTTGTGCATCAATACTCCAATTATCAGTAAATTCAACATGTACATCTCGACCATGACGAGTAATAGATCGTTTAAGAGTTGTTACTTGAAATGTATTCTACATTTAATCAAAAGAAAAATATTAAGTATTTAAATAATTAACTTACTCGTACAGTTGTACCAACAATAAGTGTTAATGTTCCAAAATGTTCAGCACGTGTATAAACAAGTTCAATATTTGAATCACCTTGAATTAATCGTAGTATATCATTTGTTGTTGCTGTTGTTGCTAAATCAATATCATGTGGCGTAGTACCAAGTAAAATATCTCGAACTGCTCCACCAATAATACGAATCGAATAATCATACTCGTTAAATAATGAAAAGAGATAGATTAATTGTGATGAAAATAAATGAATATATTCTGATTGATCCAATTGATAGCAACGAACTGAAGATGTCATAATCTAAAATAAAAATAATAAATGAATCATATATAGACATATGTGTATTGATAAGATGTAATAAGAAAGAATAAATATTAAATTACCCAAATTTTAATAAGATATATCATACAAAGAAAAATTAGTGTATATTATATGAATATATTATTTAAAATGCCTAAAACTTCTAAAAATATTATATTGCATCATATTGACGAAAAGATTTAATGCCACCTATTGATATAAATAAATAATATTTTATAGTTTGTCTGTATTTACGATTATTTTTCATAGATAATTTTGTATATGTTACATGTATATCAATTTACTTTTCGTTAGAGACGTGACGGAGTATGAGTATTCAGAAATATGCGAAGAATTCGAAAAGATACGAATCTTTCCTCGGAACTTTGAATATAATGATAAGACAGACATTTTTGCTTTGGATTTCGATCTTGGTGAAATTCTTACAAAAAATTAAAGTGAAATGAAGATGGTACATGTCTTATTCTGTTCATTTACAGTGATATTACAATAAAATGAGACTATTCATTTTTTTTGCTTGAATTGAGCCATTTATAACACGCAAAAACGAAGTAAACAATCTATTTTCTTTTGATTATAGATTTCATTTTCACTCGGTAGTTTTTTACATAAAATAAAAATAGTCGATTTGAAAAAACAAAGATAACATAAAGGTTTATTTTTGTTATAAACGGAATGTTGATTTTTTTATTCTTTTTCTTTGCGTTTTTTTGGCAATGAACAACTTGCATTTGCAGATTGTTTCGTTTTTGTTGTTGTTGTATCATTTGTATTTATTAAATTATCTAATATATTTGGTAGAACTTCATCAATTAATTGACTTTCTGTTGCTTGAAAATGTGATTTTTTCCAGTTTTCTCGAAGTTCATTCAATATTAATTTATAATTTGGTCCTTGTTTAATACCTTTCGATGCAAGTGATCCACCTGTAACAGGAAAACGTGGTAAAATCCATTTTGATAATTGTTCAGCTTCTATCAAATAATGTTGATATTTAAGTAATTCAACAATTCTATCTTTTGCAGTTGGATCATTTATAATTAAATCAACAAGTAAATCTTTGTATGGTTTCAATGAATCTATAGAAGAAGAATCAAGAACAGATAATGAATCACGATATGTAACAATTAATTGAGATAGACGACGACAATCATTGGAATACTTCATACGTTGATCAAATTTTCCTAACTAAATTTAATAATAAAGATTATCAATTATTATACGTCATTTAGAATTGAATTAACTTACTTCATCTATATTACGAAAAAGTTTTGTTAAAATAGTCATATCATGAGGTTTAGCTTGATGACATTGTTGCCAATGATCTTCTATTTGATTTGAATCAGCATCCGATGGAATACCTGTAATTAAAATTAAGTCCTTATATGAATAAGAAAACATTCAAAGCTTACCAAGATACGGTCCTATTTGTTGTTCAAGCATAACTCTTAATATTGGACCAGCATTTCGGCCTTCTGCAATACGTTTTAATTCAATCCATAGACGTTCACCCGCAATATCTACATAAGAAAACTTAAATTAACGTTTTATTTTATCATTATTCTACCTTGTAAACCATCGACATTTTCTCTAATTGCTTTTAATGTTTGTTCATCATGTACAGCATTATCATGAGCAAAACGACCAAAAAATCTATTGTATAAAACAAAAAAAGTATAAAAGAAAAATATCATTTTTTTTTATTCTATCTACCGAAAATATCTGAGAATACGAAGATAATCTTCGCGAATACGTTGAACAGCATCACCCACAAAACGAATACGACGATGATCAATATCCTCAATACCATTAAAATAATCATATACTGTACCTTCCATATCTGAAAAATAAATTTTTTTTCTAATCTAATCTTTTTTTGTTTATAATAATTAACAAACCAAGAAAAAGTGCATTAATTGTAAGATCTCGTCGATTAGCATCTAATTGCCAATCTTGTGTATATTCAACTTCAGCATGTCTTCCATCAGTGGTAACATCAATTCTTAATGTTGTTATTTCGAAATTTTCGATATCATCAATTCGAGCTGTTATTGTCCCATGTTTTTCACCATTTGCATTAATCATTCTTATTTTAGCATTTGTTAACATATCTTTAACTTGTTCAGGTGTTGCTGTTGTAGCAAAATCAACATCATGTGGAATGATACCCATTAAAACATCACGTACTGCACCACCAGCAACTCGTAATTCATAATGATTTGCTTTAAATAACTCGGCTAATTTCAATAAATGTGGAGTTAATAAAGCTCGACTTTCAGGAGTATCAATTTTTTTTGTTATCAACATATTTGATTTATGAAAATAAATGAATGATATACTGTTGAAATGATGACATATTTTATAGTATCATCTAGAAATACGTCAAAAACGAGAGGAGGAAGAAACAGAACAGTAACAAGAAATATGATGCAATTACAATGCAAGAAAAAAAACACGTCATTATTATTTTTTGCCACCTTTATCTGCAGCAGCAGCAGCTGTAGCACCACGTAATAGTTTAGCTTGTTGAGCTTCTTCAGCTTCTTTAGCTTGTCTTTCATGAAGTGCACGTAATTCTTCCATATATTTTGTTTGTTCTTCAACATTTAAATTACTAACAACTTCCATACCCATTTTATTTGCATGTTGAATTAATACACGACACATTTCTTTCATTGTTAAACCTTGATAAGGTTCATCTGTAGGCGAAAATGAATATAGAAATATTTTTATTCATATCTAATATATACCTTGAATTTTTACTTTAGCAATTTCATAAATATGCTTTACACTTATTCGACCACCAGGTTCTTTGCCTTTAAAAAGTTTATAGATTAATAAAAATAAAGTTTGAGAGTAAAAAAGAAACAACTAACCAATATTTATTGCTGGTCGTTTAAGACCAGCAGCTTGTAGAAGAAGATGTTCGATTGTTGGTGTATAGAATACTAACTCATATGTTCGATCAGGCTGTAGGAAAAAAAATCGCCAATTTACTAGAATATATGTATATCAAGAACTAACTTTAACATAAACATGACATGGTAAAGGTATTCCTTCTTTATACTCTTTCGTTCGTTCATTGAAATCTTTACAAAATTGTGCAATATTTAATGAATGTTGACCAAGAATAGGTCCAAGTGGTGGTGCTGGACTTGCTTGACCAGCTGGAATATCCATTTGAAAGTATGGTTGAAGAACAACTTTAGATGCAACTGCCTTCAATTTTGAGGCCATTTTACCAACTAGAACAAAAAAAGATTCATAGCGACGTTTTCTCTTTTTTGTTGATTAATGAGAATTACCTTGTTTTGCAGACGCCATTCTCTTTTTGAAATTCTTTTATTATCTAATCTAAAAACAGAAGAAAAACTGAAGAAAAAACAATACGAAATTATTATTCATTTGTTGTTTTTAATGAAAGATTTTCAATATTTAAATCCTTTTCTTCTTCTTCACCACCATCATCATCTTCTTCGGATGACTCAGATGGCGGCATATCACGATTAGGTGTATAACTTTCAATAAAACTTTCTTCTCCACTTCGAAAACGTTTGTCACATTCGATTATTGCTTGAGCCGATTCACATTTTTCATAAGTATCAAGAAGTGATGAATTAAGTGTATAAAAAGCATGTCCCCATTTAAATTTATCAAGTAATATCGCACCATAATCTCTTAAACCAACAATTGCTAATGTTGCAGCAAATGCTTCAACACAAGATAATTGACAAGGTTTACCTAAAATATATTAATTTAAAAATAATATAAACAAAATGAAGAAGATGTATACCATAATTGACATTATTTGTAGCAACAAGATAAGGTAATAACCTTAGATGTTTGCCTTTCATACGAGAAAATGGTGTTTCATCAAGTTTTGCCCATGAACAATCAACAACAGCTATACCACTTTCTAGAACAATTTGTTTATCTTCAGGTGAAACACATTTTTGACCCATTGGTGAAAGAATAAGTCCACCAAAATGATTGCCTAATTTTAATGGTTTAACAAATCCATGTCGAACTAATTTACGACCAGTACAACGTTTAGGATCACATTGATTAACATCCCACATAGCTAATGGTACATGAATTTGTGGTTTTTTCTCTCCATCATCATCATCATCATTATCCTCGTCAGCGGAATGAAATTCTTCATCTTCTCCATCTTCTTCGTTATCATTATGTTTAGCTTTTGGTGCACGATCAATATATTCTCGATCTTTATGATGCTTTTTTTTATTTATTTTATGAGACATCTACAAGATAAAAATATCGATTGCACGTGAAAAATATTATGTTTATTATATTAGTGCACAAAAATTAATTTTTTTTCTCTCCAGTAGTATTAAAAAAACATATAGACGACATTAATCGAGATTCTGTTTTTCTATTTGCTCTTTTATAATTCTTCAAATGGATTTCATTTCCGTTGTGTGAATGAGATCGATAACATTTTTACTTTAAAACGACAAGTAAAACTGACGCCAGAACATTAATATGGAAAAATCACTCAAACAATTAAAATGTATTGAACGAATATCACGACAAACACGTCATTATCGAACACATTTGAATCAAGTATGTAACGATAATTTACATACACAATTAAATCTATTAGATGATCAATGTGAACGAAATATTGCACGTAGAACATCATCTCAACAAATCGAAGAAGAACGTAAGAAATTACTACGTCTTACTATTGAACAAATTACGAAAGAACAAGAACCATCTTTAACAACGGATGAAACACAAATCATTTCAAAAAATAATGGTAAATACATTCTCTACATAAAGACTATGTTTTGACTAGAAGATAGAAACTTCCAATCTAAAAGTGAACGTGTGTTCTAATCACTTGTATCATAAAATGCTAAAATCAACAACTTCTTTGTATTACAAAATAAATTTTCTCTTGTTCTAGAAAATTCTTCACCATCGTTCATTATTTTACCATCTCGTAAAACGCCATGTAATCTATTTTCACATAATTGTCAATTTTATCCATGTCAACCAGTATATCAATATACAAGTTTTATGACAAAAGATCATGATCGAACATTACAAAAACGAAGTTTGTCTGTAGAAAATTCAACTAATAATTCTGATGCATCTTCTGTACATGACTCATTTAAACAAAATCGTCGGCAATTACCACCATTAACTCGAAATCAATATTATGAACTTCATCGACACATGTCCATACAACGAAAGAAAGTCGAACTTGACAAACAAAATCTTCTATTACGTGAACGAGTAACTGATAGAAAAACTTTTGGTTACATCAAAACACAACAACGTCAACTATCACAAGCTATCAAACATCATTTACAGATTAGCGCGAAATTTTGTGAGTAAAAATTAAACAAATAAACAATTGCTAAATATGTTTCTTCATTACTTTTTTCTATCGATGCCATAATTTTTTTTTAAATATCTTGACCAAATATTATACTAATATTATTCCATGTATATTATATAAATCACATTATTAATGTAAATAAATATTTAAGCACATTAACTTTAACATTATGATTACGTATATAATTTAAGTTTATGTTTAAACTTTGTACAACCACAGGACTTTTAATATATGAAAAAGTTGATTATATAAGATTCACACCACATACCTGTAATAAATATTCTACTAGAACCGCTCCATATGTCGTTTCTTATGTTGAATTGTGAAGGTGTGAGTGAAAGTAAGTGATTTAGGATGAACTAATTTTAATGTTGAATAGTTAAGTAATAAAGACATTAAATGATGAATTGATTAAAACAGATGACAATTCTATAAAAGAGTATATGTATTTTTAAAAAACCTATGCTGAAATATTTAAATATATTCGAGGAATTGTAAATAAACGCTGAAACGTTTTGATCAAGTCGATTTTCCAGAAAACGATCTGGTTGAAATGAAATATGTACATATATAACATTTTTATTGCTCAATAGAATATCCAGTCTGTTGTATGTTGATTAACTAACGAGAGGGCGCTGCATATCGTTGTATTTTCAAACATCCGGATGTTTTTTTATACCTAATATATTGGTAAATCAATACTGTTCATATCCGTAATACGTTTCAAAGGACAGTATTCTTTTTTTCTAGTGCACAATGACTGTTTTATGAGAAGATTTATTTAAAAAAACTCTCCATTAGACAGTACGCTAGTTCTTGAACTTATCGAACAACAATTGATTCAGTCAAATTATGACAATCAGGTATAATTAATAGAATATTCTTTTAACACATGCATTCTATTCCAAATTCTAGTCTGAATAATGTTCTTTAGATGTTTGTAAGTTTTCAGTTAATTAATCGATTAAAAGTGTAGACGTATTTTAAAATATAGTATAGACACATAAACTTGAAATGTGCAAATAATGATTTATAAAAAAAATTAGAAGCACTACTGAGTAAGTTTTGTCATATAACATAAAAGTAGAGTACTACAATCGAACTGACATAAAAATAAAAGTATAAGTAATCCGTGACTGACAGATAAAGCTTATAAGAAAAGAGGGTAAAGTATTATGGATTATGACATCAATTTCTTTAATTTAATTACATAGTCATAACTTAGCTCACATAACGCCACTTGGTAGAAGTCTGAGTTGTCCTATCCTCTGTTTTCAACACCATTATTTTGCAATATTTATTAATTCTCATATTCAAAAATAGACAGGTAATAAAATTTGTTCTTTTTTTAACTTTTATCTGAAAAATAGCAGTGTATCTTAGTCAAGAAATTCAATATTATTTCATACATTCTCTCTCTCTCAACAAAGACAGGAAACTGTTAAAACAGATACTATTTTTATCCAATCTTCGATAATTATCTAACAAAAATTTGATAAATCGACATACTGAAAAACATGGTACATACTACACAGTTTTTCATATATTATTTCATGTTTATTTATTTATATTTTTTCATGGTAAGATATAGACGTTTTGCTTATTAACTGTCTGCGCATTGTTGTATGTTATTGAAAACATGCAATAATAATATATTACATGTGCAAAGGTTTTCACAGAAAAAATAAATTTGCTATATTTTTTCGAAACAAAGAAGCATCTGATAAACTGTCCACGAAGTAATAAATTTATCATCAACTTTATTTAGTTTATTATATATCTATATATCAATTCAATAGTACACCATGCCATAATCTTACATTTGTAACAAGTAATTTGATTTACAGTACCGACATCATCAATGACAATGTGCGAAGAAGAGTATATATATAGCTCAAGGTCTTAGATAAAAAAAAACGATGAGTTTGTTCTTCTAGACACTTGTCATTTACTGAATACAAACTATTGTAATTTGTATTGTTGATTATATATTAAGAATATAACGAAAATTATGAGATGACATAGAAATATTGTTAATAGAATATCAATTATTGATCTTCATTGTAACTGACACTAATTTGATAGTATATTGTTTTAATGATATAAAATAATTATTCTTTTTCTATTTTTATCAAGGATATTATATCGTATATTAATTGTAATAAGGCAAGGTCGTAATTTTATCTTTTGTTACTACTGCGTATAATTATGAAAATATATTAGAAAACAGCAAGATACCTTCTGGGTATGACTTTGTGTTGAAGATAGTTAGGAAGATATTTTGCTTGCTATCACAATATAGCTTTACAAGCAAGAAAATATATCTAATATATATAATTAAATAATATAGGGTAAAACAGAATCACTGAAGAGAAAATACGAAGATTTACTTTGTCCTTGACAAGGTAATATATATATATATACTAAGAGAATATTACGACTCAAGAATTTTATCAATTAACATCATGTATTCATAATATGAGATATGTTCTGTTTGATAACAAGAAAAATATTTTTATTCATTATTGATCATCAAAGCATATGCCGACGCTTTTTTCTCTTTTCACATGAGATCAAATCAATCCTTAACAAACATTCAATTTAGACTGTTAAATATGATGACAAGAGATGAAAACTTGGCAAAACAATTTACATAACAGAATGTTTTAATTGATAATTAACTTTTATTTGTATTTTATTTCTTTTTTTTGTGTTATATGAATAAGCAACAGCTAGGTTTCAACTATTGAACATGACATCATCCTTGTCCTATATGGAACTAGATGAAGTTGAACATACACATGTTGCCATTACATCTGTGTCCAACAAAATATAGCATTCGGTCGAGGTCATCGATGATGAGATAATTGTTGCTCGTTATTTTGTTTCAATTACTCACTATTACTTCTCTTCATAACGATATGGCGCACTCAAACAATCTGTATCCTATTGCACTTTATGTATACAATCTACTAAAATGGAATAAATGATGTTTATATAAATATATATTTCCTATTGTTAGAGCTCTAACTACATTATAAGTGATGATTGTTCATGGCCTAAGCTATAACAGTTATAAGACACATATATATCATCAATTCAACAAAAAAAACATTTATCTAATTGATATTACGCCATAGACAGGAAATATCTTTCGTCACCTTTCGTTGTCAAGTCAAGATTTCTCAGTTGACTGAACAAGATCAGAGACATAAGAAACGAAAAGTAAATAATTTAGACATAAGAGTAACGTTGATTGTCGCCGCAAGCCCACCCGACCACATCTATACGCATGTGATAATGATGAGAGGAATAAAAGCGGGCAAGCGAGTGGGTGCGATAAGATTGTTTTGAACAAGACATATATATATATATATATACATACACACAAATGAAATGGACAGCGGGCATACACGTTCCATTTCCGTTTCTACTAATTCACAGTATGTTCTTGACTATCACTCGATGTTGATCAAGAAATACACCGCTCTGTTCCAAGCCTAAAGGCAATGAACCAAAATTGAGGTTGTTTAAAAATAAAAGAAGAAGAAGAAAGATGATTCATATTCTTTTTAATCAGATTGACTTCGAGGAAGTAAACTCATATTAAAACGAAATCTTGACATGTCTACCCCTCTATTTAAAATAGCAATAAGCATTTTATTTATCATCCATCATCGACTAATAATATATATATGTGTATGTGTATATAGCAGTTGAATGTATATCTTTATCATCGATGGCATTCTCATTTATTCTCTAGTTTGTTTGCTTGATCGTTATCAGCTTTGTCCGACTCACAAAATTAAAATCGATCTATCATAAGAAGAGCTCATTCGACATACTTATGAGTGTGTCCATATATTTATATGTTTAGTCCTTGATAGTAGATTCGTCTTATCATATTTAATACTGCATATCACTATAACCGTTAACTGACCGACAAGGTCAAATCGTAACAAGTGAGCATGCAAGAGATTTACGACAGATGTCAATTTTGAAATATTGCAGACTCTTCGTCTTAATTTAGCGCGTCAAGTACTTTCTATTTTCCATGTTAGTAACATACTGATCATTCAATCGTTACAATCAATAAGTGGACCACGAAAATGATAAGAATGCACCATATATATGTCGTGTAATTTTCTTTCTGATTGAGACACTCGGTTTTAATTTATGGATCATGTCGATGATAATATTGTTGCGGTCGCCTGTACACGACATTAATTACATCTATTTAGAATGAGACTGTCCATCTGCGTATGAACAAAACAGAAATAGTTAATTTGACTTGAAGAAAAAAAAATGGAAAGACAACGTTTTTTATCTATCACACGCCGTCACTACTTCATGAATTAAATTTCACGTTCCGATAATTTCTACATATGTTGTACATGCGCACGCTATCCGACAGGTGTTTGTTCCATTTTTTTGTTTTTGTTAAAATGAGTTTCTTTCTGTCTATTTTTATTTAACATAACACGCAAATGTATATCCGTTAGAGATAATTTTCTTTTGTTCTCACCGAGAAAAGCGCTGGTAACCAGTTGTTCATCAGTTAAATCCCTCCCTTTTTCTTTTGATTTTTTTTTTGTCGTCGTTATTGATGAAAGCAAGAGAACAAGAGAGAAAGAGACAGAGAGGGATGGATGAAGCGAGAGAGAGAGAGATAATATCGCTTTCTTTCTCTCTTATTCTCTATGTTATTCTTCGTCTCTTCATTTCCGAGCTAAACAGGTAAATGTAAAGAAGGATGTTCTTCCTTTTTACTTGCTCATATTCCATCATCATTATTTTTCTTTTCTTCATTTTAAATATTTGCGTTTTTTTTTATTCCAAGGTGAACACATTGACGGTGGTTGTAGTACCCGGCGTTTTTTGTTGCGTAAGTAAGTGGTCGAGCACCACTCTTTATGTGTGTATAGTTCTGCCGTGAAATTAGAGTATATGCGTCTTTCATAGAGAACAACAATCACTATAATGCATAATAGATATGCTCTCGCGCATTCATGTTCGTAATAATTGTTAGTACTGAGAATGTCGTCCAATTCTTTTTTTTTTGTACTTTTTTTCTTTCTTCTTCAAGACCCGATTTATATATATATATATTGAAGAGAGAGATACTTGAGAAGAGTTACTCGTCTTTCTAGCAACAACCTTCCTCCATTGTTCGGAGATGTGTAAACGAAAAAAGAAGTAAACGATCTTTGCCCATTTGTGTGAACATATATATATATATATATACAGACACATTAGATGAGCTGCTTGTGTAACCAGTTACATCCATAGATTTTATTGTTAATGCGTAGCAATGAAATAAACACGTTTGAAACAAAAAAAAAGAAAGAAACCCGAAGAAAAGAATATACATATGTATAAATGACATCTAAGACAAATTGTAATCTATCGATAAAGTTCAATTTAATTACGTGTGTTATTATTATTATTGTTGTTCTTACAGACATTTGTACATAAATGTGTCATTCATCGTCTATGTAAGTATAATGTAAACATAAAATTTTTCTTTTCTTGAACCGGAAAAGATCATCAAGGATTTTGATGAGACTACATTTTTCATATCTTATACTCCCATATGTTTGAAAACAACAACAATAACAAACATTAAAAAAATGTCTACGAATAATATGATGCATGGTTATGATCTATCTTCATATGAAGATAACGTCTCATCATCACCTTGAGAATGTCTGCCTGTCTATATTCGATCGATAATTGTCATCTATATATATATATATACGCCTCGAGGTCCATTCATGTAGTGATCCTTTTAACTCAATCGATCAATTTTAAAGATTTGAAGTGTACAAACACATATCTCATTCATCTTGCCTTTATCATCTATCCCACACACTTCTCCATGTATTGTTTTTATTCTAATCCTTAAACAGACAAGTCAGTCTATTTGTTTTTTCCAATGATAGATTCATTTTTTCTAGTGTTTGATGATAAAATGAAATAAAAAAAAAGTGATGAATAGTTCTACACTTGAATTGAAATTATGTCACTCGCGCGAATGCGGATAGTTGAAAGTCGATTGCTTCCGTTTTTTTTCTCTCTCGTTCTCACTCCCCTTCTCTTGACCTATTCTTTTGTCTATCATTGTACAGTAGCCATAACGCATTTTAAACTCCAGACATGATAATTTCCCTTGCCTTCTGTATCATTAAAAAAACGCGACAGAGGGAGAACAACTCTTATCTATTTCTAACACTTGTCATCATTCTGAGCATTGGTTTGTTTAAATCACTATCGTACCCTGTATCTCAATTACATTGTGGCATGTTACAATAATATTATATATATATGTATATGAAGAGAAACTTCTTTTTCTCCCTGGAGATAGAGCGCTCGACTGGCTGCTATTAAATAGAATGGAATGAATATAAGTACAGAGAAAAAAACTAAATTTATTATGCAATAAATAATGATAGAGAAGAAGAAAAAAAATCGACAGTACCATCCCCTGCGTTCTTTTTTGTTTCTTAGACAATTCTATTGCGCATCAGATTTCACTCATTTTCTTGCGCTTGATCTAAATGGACTTTACGTGGATTGATTGTATGGACAGGCGAGAGTATGTATAAGATATAATTGTTTCCTCCATTGTCTTCTACAGAATGACATTAGATATGATGACTATAGTCAGTCAGACACAGACAGAGAGTCAGCACAAGTGCTGAACAAATAGGCAAACAAATACATACGTAAGTGAACTTCTATTCTTTTATTTTTAGTGACTTCGAAAATTGAAGAGTCAATCTTTTAAGATTACGTTTCTTTTCTTTCTTATATTGTTCATCATCCATCTCGGACATGCCTTCTATTCTTCTTTTTTTTTCTTGATTTGAAACATTGACTTCCTTCATTATCATTCTCCCTGTTATTATAATTAGACTGTCATCTACAGAACATACTATATCATTCATAATTTTTTCTTCTTCTTTTTTCTTTGTTATTTCGTGTCATTTTTTTCGTCTCATAAATTGGTTAAAAAAATCCTTGTCAAGGCTAATCTTCTAATCAAGCTTATAAAACACTCATCAGTTGATGTGAGTCTAATGTTCAATTATCTATGTCTTTTCCTTTATGTCCTTGATAAGCGTGAGTAATCTGAAAGGTCAGTCAGCATCGAAGAAGTTTTTTTTTGTCTAATTATGACGATAGCCAGTCAGCACGCAAAGGCCACTCATGTCAGTGAACGTTTGGGATGGCTCATCGATCATTCTATACTCTCTTGTCGACACTTGTGTGTGTCGGTCATCAAGGCCATTCATTTATTATTATTTTTCATTCAGTGACCATCATCACCATCATTTGATAGACGGCTGAAGAAAAAGCAGGAAGTTAAAGAGTATGTTCCTGCTAGAATATCAATGAGTACAATGTGTGTGTGTGTATATACAGTGATGAGAAAGATGGACACATCTCATTAGAGTGTGGATTGAGATGAATCAATGAAATCACTTCTTTTGACATGTATGTTTATTAGAAAAGATAAACATTTGGTTTTATTTCTTCTTCTTCTTCTTCTTTTTTTTTCTTTTTATTCCTGTCGATCTTTAAATCTTATCGAATGAAATAGACGAAATCCAACTCTGTCGGTCAACAAGTCATTCGTGCGTTGAATAACACGTCAAGAAATATATATATATATATGCACACTTTTTCTCTTCGTCAAATCATCCTTTTAATCTTTTTCGCTTACGTTTACGCGTACACATGCACATATGTATATATACATATATATGTATATATAGGACGTAAAAGAAATCATTTATCAGGGCTCTACCAGCCCTTGCGCAACATGACTAGTTGTTTCTCATAATGCATATGTTTAACCATATGAAATTTATATAAGCCATAATTTCATTTTGAATGGATCCTATTCTTGTCTTGATTTTTCTTTTTGTCTAATCATTTATGCTTACTTTCATTCTCAAAATTAAATCTAATCAACACGTCGTCGTCGCTCAGCAGGACGAAATCTATGAGTAATGATGATGATGTCTGACCTAATGTTGTAAACAGACGAGAATTTTATTCGACTTATATATAGATATACGTGTGTGTATATGCGTGTTTCAAGGCTATTCATGCTCATTGAACACACATACGGAAGGATCGTTATCAGGATGCCATCAATCGTCACAAATATATATATATTTATATAAACAGGCATGAACAAAATTTCACACTTGATGTAGACAGTGATAAATGGCAAAATAAAATCTTCATCGCATTATTGGATTCTTTTTTCGCTCTAACAAACACCTGTCAAGATTGACAATCGATTCTGTTTTTTCTCCTTTCCCATACATTCTCTTCTTTCTTCTTCTCTCTCTCCCTCCCTATATATATATATATATCAATATGTTTCAGATATATACACATTTCTGCTTTTCTCTTCAATATATCAAACATTTAATATGAGGATAATCATATTATTACTCATATTTTATAATGGAATTCTTGTCAAATCTATGGAATTAAGTATGTATATAAAATAAATATGAATTATATTTTCTAAGATTTTCATTTCATTTTAGAGGGTACTAGTTCTTGTCAGACACCACTTATAATTAATTCAAAAATTATAACAAGTAGTAATATCGATAAATCAGATAATTGGTGTCCGTCAATAACTGATGTTAAACCTTATTTACATGTAACTTTATCAAATTTAACTTATATAACATCTATAGAAATCAAATCGAAAATTCCTTTGGATATCAATTATCATCTTGAATATACACGTGAGAATAGTATTGATCAATATACTATATGGCGTTCATATCGTTTATTAAATAATAAAAAAGAAAAAATCTTTCTTGATCCACCTATGATTGCTAAACATGTTCGATTAAATATTAAACAAATGAAAAAATTATCATGTATTCAATTTGAATTATTCGGATGTATTTTTACAGATGGTGTCGTATCATACGGTATGTTACAGGGTACAAATCAACTTGAAGATGATACATATGACGGACAATATGATGAGAAACAACGTTATTTATATGGTAAGAAAATTTTTATTTAAGTAAAAAAAAGAAACGAAATATTTATTTTAATCTATTAAGATGGTCTTGGACAATTATCTGATGGACAAACAGCACCTGATAATCGTGAAGATGCACGTGGATTTCAATGGGTATGTGACTATTATTAATTTCTAAATATTAATATAGCGCGAAATTTGAAGGGAGATTTATCTTGATAAAAAATTGATAATGACAGAAACTGCGGTTGCTTCATTGATGCTTGATGATGATAGTATATATATATCATTTGCCTTATATCAAGATAAGACGTGAGCGTCTTCCTGTATCGATATATATATATATTATATAGCTTGTCAAATCGATATGTAATGTACTCCTCGTGTATATACTTCTAAATAATGACTGGAAATAAAATTCTGTCATTTTATACAGTCTTGTCTTTCTCATTCATATGATAACTGAAGGTTTATTCTGGAAATGTATTAAACTGTTTTTAGAACTCATTGAATAGGAACATTAGTTTATATAATCTCATTCGAGAACTCTATTTTATATCGAATCGGAATATATCTAAAATTTTCTTCTTTATTTTCAGGTTGGTTGGCGTAAACCTCGTTCAATAAAACATAATCATTCCATAACACTCTCATTTAATTTTGATGCATTACGAAATTTTTCTCGTATGACTATTCATGCAAATAATTATTATCCAAAAAATATTTTTGCTTTTCGTTCTGTTACTATTGAATTTGTTGGTAATAATAATAATGAACGAGTAAAAAATTCAACATTTATTACATATCATAATCAACATGATGATCAATTTGAAATGGCAAGAGCAATAATGATTGATTTAAAATATCATATTGCTTCACAATTAAAAATTCGTTTATATTTTGATGGAAATTGGATATTAATTAGTGAAATTACATTTGATTCATTTATTGTACCATTATCAATATCAACAACAACAACAACAACAGCCAGAACAACAATAACACCAAAATCTATTATTCAAGAACAATCACAAAAGGAAACATATAATTTTTGGATTTATGTTATTGTATGTTTTGCAACAATGGCTATTATATTAATGTTAGGAGCAATTATTATACTTATTCAACGAACATTAAATGACCATAAAAAGATCAAAAAACATTATTTTACGCCAATACATAATCATACAAATTCATCAGCATCAACAGCATCAAGTGATATTGATTTTAATTCAACACAACATCGTTATGCAACAATAGGACCAACTCATCCATATTTACTTTGTACAAATGGTAGTATAACTTCTTCGGCATCACCACATTATGCTAAATTAATGCCAACAACAACTTTATTACGTACACCATCATTAATTCAACAGAATCATATTGAAGGTGTTTGTGGTAATAGTGCCTATTCTACACAAAGATTATTTACATTTGATATGAATCAAAATCAATTTATACCAATGCATCAGATTAATATTAAACGAAGATTAGAATCTCGAAAACAAATTGTCGGAGGTGGAGAGGTAAATTTAATTAGATTAACAAAAAATAAGGTGTTAAAGATTAGTTTAAGTGTAGTAAAACATCTAACATATAATCGGATTTGAATCGCATAGTCAAAATTAAATATATAAGAGGATATAATTCTTACAAAATCAAACCTTTAGTCATACGGGAATGTTTGAGGTGGGAGTACTTTTCTCTCATCTATTTGCTAGATTTTGAGAAGTCTTTCTATATGCAAAATAATCTTATAATCCATTTTAGATTTGTCAAGGTGAATTTCAAGTAAATCAATCATTAGTACCAATAACAATTCGACGTCTTATCCCAAGTGCATCTATTCAATCAAAGTAAATTATAAATTTAATTCATTTCCTTGTACATTTTATTTTCATTTTTAGAATCTCATTTTTCAATGAAATTAGTCTTTTAACATCACTTTGTCATCCAAATATTATTCATGCATATGGTTTTTGTTCGGAACCAACAATGTCTCTTATAACTGAATCATTAGATTCATCAAGTATTGATCTTTATCAATATCTTCAACATTATAAACAAGAACAACAAATGAATGATACACTATATGCAACAGCAGTTTTCTTTGGTTCACAAATTTCTTCAGCATTATCTTATTTAGAATCATTACATATTTATCATCGTGATATAGCTGCAAGAAATTGTTTAGTTACACTTGATTTAACAATAAAATTACATGATTTAGCTATGTGTAATGAGATATATACAGATGATTATGTATTAATATCAATTAATGATGATATTCAAACACGTCGACCTATTCGATGGTGTGCATGGGAAACAATTTGTTCGGTAAGAAAATAACCAAAAACAAAATATTTATTATTGATTTTTTTTTCCTATCTAGAATCATTTTACATCAAAATCAGATGTTTTTTCATTTGGTGTACTTCTTTGGGAAATTTTAACAATGGCCGAACGACCACATAGTCTATTAGATGATGATCAAGTTCTTTATAATTTACGTAATTCAAATCATTGTTTATCGATACCATCAACAGGATTAGATTTAATTGATTTAATATCATCATGTTGGCATAAATGTGATTATGATCGACCCTCATTTTATCAACTAAATCATTTATTATGTCAAAAACAACAACAATTAATAACAGCAAATTCAGATCCTTATTTACAAACAAATTAAATATTTGACTATTTATTTGTATTATAATATATAATAGTAGCCCGGTTGTTTTTTTTTTGCGTTTTTTTCTTCTTCTTCTTTCTTTTTTTTGTGTGTGATTTATAATAAGAAAAAGACAAATAGTTTTTTTTTGTTTGATGTTTAATAATAAATGATAGATTTCAATGAAGATATTCGAATATTAATCTATCTTTATATTATATGTTAATGCAAACTTTTGTATGTCAAAACAAATTATGATTTTAACGAAAATATTGATTACTTATTCAAATCATGATGATATTTTATGCATGATAAATTTCAATGAATGTCAAGGATAAACATGACTTCTTTATTAATTCTTTAAGACTGAATGTGAATTAATTAAAATAGTGTAACTACGGAAGACTAGTTCATTAGAAAATATGATCCCGCTTTAAATATCAACGAAATTATTAAGCATATTCTTTTCTTTTCCTAACAAAAAACTATGTTTCCTTGCGATCGTTTTGGAGCTGTTCATATAATTCGTGTTATCATCGAAATCTTACTTATTACATTTTTACATATATTTGGTTCATGTCGATTAGGTATTATATTTGGTTTTAATGATACTAGTTCAATCATATTTTCAATTACAATTATTATTATGGCATCAACGGATATCTATTATTTACTTTTATCATTATTTACATCGGAAACTCCACGACATAGTGCAATATTTCATATTATATTCTATAGTTGTATGAGTTTGTTAGCATTAATATGTTGTGTTTTTTCAATTGTAGCATATATATATTGTGTACAAAATAAATATAATCGTCTTTGTCCTTATTATACATGTTCAATCTTATGGATTAGTATTACATTAACATTTCTATTGACAATTATGTATAGTGGTTCAACGAAATTACTTTGTTGTTTTTTAGGACAAAATTAAATCTATTATGCATTTATAAAATACATTTTATTTGAAAAAAAAAAACAGAAACCATCGGTTAAATATTATTTATTCATTATCTTGTACAAAATAAGGATGTTGTAAAGCTTGTTTAGCTGTTAAACGTTGTTCCGGTATATAAGATAAACAACGTGATAAAAGATCTTCAGCTTTATTATGACTTAAATGTACATATTTACTAAGTGATGATGTTGGTTGCCATTGAGGAAAATCAAATGTATAATTAGGTAGAGATGAAACACCAGGCCATAATTTTTCATTTGGTGTACCTTGATAAATATATAATTAAGAATTTATTCGATTTCGAAAAACAAAACTTACCTAAAACTTGGAAAATACAGAATAATTGTGCAATTCCACAATCACCTTTGAATAATGGCGAATTTCGTAACATTTCAGCGAAAATACAACCAGCACTCCCTTTAGATAGATAAAAGATTGTATTTTTTTTAGAAAGAATGTATTATACATACAAATATCAACAGCACTAGAATAGATATCAGTTCCAAGCAATATTTCAGGTGGACGATACCATAGAGTAATAATTTCTTTTGAATAAGCACGTTTCGGTACAGTTGCATCACGAGCAAGACCAAAATCTGCTATTTTTAATGTACCTTTGGTGTCAAGTAATAGATTTTGAGGTCTAAAAAAAAATTAAATTCGTATCATTTATGAGATACGATCAATAAATGACAAGTAAAATTCATTGTATATCGATTCTAATTAGATCGGAAAGAGTGTTTATAGATCTCTAAGATCAAATTTCAATAAAGTCATAATCATCATCATGAATAGTGGCAGAATGTACTTTATAATATAGTATCAGATATCCATACAGATGCATCAATAACAAACGTAGAAATTAATTTCGAAAATTGATAGCCTACATCAAGGCAATGCAATTACAAAATCATTTTCTTTTTTATCAATTCAACAAATTTTTATAATGATTCATCGGTATTTTATTGTTCATTTTTCAAAACCCAAGCGGAGATGAATCTATTATCTAACTATCGAAATGCATGTTTATGTGTAAAACAATACATGAAAAATATTCATCATTTTTTCGGTTAGTTTGACTTGTTATACGAACATTTCTCTTGTTGTCGTCTAATGCAGTCACTAGTGCTATTGCAATCATACGATAATAAAATTATAGACAGATGGAAATATATTTCTATTCCTAAACTCTCGTCTGACACTCTATGGAAAAGAAAAAATTTTTTTTCCCAGTGTCAAACGTCCCGAACATTATTTTATTGGATTAAACATCAATAAAAGCATTCGTTCAAGTCAATTTTCTCATCATAAACTCTATTTTATATAATCTTTTACTTACTTAAGATCTCGATGAAAAACTATAAAGAAAAAAAGATAATTGTAAGAAAACTTATCTCTTCTCTTTTCAACTTACTTTTATTTGTATGACAAAAATCTAAACCATTTAATAATTGATAAAAATAAATTTTTACTTGAATATCAGGTAATGGTCGATGATTACGAATCATATATTGATATAAATCAATATTCATATATTCAAATATTAAATATATTTCATTATCACGTCGTATTATATCATATAATTGAACAATATTTGGATGTTTTAATTCAAGTAAGAGATTTATTTCACGTATAACAACACAAAGAAGACCATAACGTTCACTATCAAGTAACATACATTTAATCGCAACTTCTCGTTGATGTTGATAATCGATTGCTTTATAAACTTTTGCATATGTACCTGAACCAATTTCATCAAGTAGTTTAAATTCATTTTTACCTAAAATTAATGTACCCGCCATAAATCTAAAAAATTAAAAAAACATGCCTTTTCGTCATTGTTAAAGAAAATCTTCATTATATCAACAAATAGGAAGAAATGGTTTATATGCAAATATTTATTTAAATAATTATGAATCATATCGTGGACAATGGTTAAATAATGAAAAACATGGTTATGGAAAATTTATAAATCATCGTAATAAATCATTTTATGAAGGTGAATTTTTTCAAAATAAAAAACATGGATATGGAAGATTAACTATTTGTGTAAATGAGAAATTCATGCAACGATATTATATGGGTCACTGGAAAAATGATCAGATGAATGGTTATGGAACATTGTATTTAAATGAAAATGAATATTATGAAGGAGAATTTGTTGATAATAAAAGATCAGGATGGGGAAGAATGTATTATGAAAATGGAAATATGTAGTAAGTTGAATAAATTTTGTTCTATATGCAACAGTTGAATTCATATTTTCATCTGAGTCCACCAAGTGACATAGTTCGGTATAACTGGAATTAATGCAGATGAATTTGTTTTCGCTTAGATAATATCTGTTTACTCGTAATTACTCTTATAATAGATTCGCCTGTCAATTATCAGATAAAAACGTAATCAATTGTGTATTGAATAGAATATTCTTTTTTTGGGAAATTCTATTAGACTTTTATAAAAAAAACACTTTTAAAAATAAATGCATTTTTAATTGTAGTCCGTACGGATATTCAGAAGACTTGACTAGTTCTATTGTATACCACAATAATTCGAGCATGTAACTCGATAAAGATATGGAAGCGGAAGAGAAGAATATATATTTTTTTGATACAGATATTAGAGATGGGTAATTAACAGGTTTGGGTTAATTGATTCATCCTGAAATTAAATATTATCTAATTATGATAGTGAATAAATATCCTAAAAATAACAAAAATAAACATACAAAATTTTTTTTGGTTTAAAAAGTGAAGGCGAATGGTTTAATAATAAACGTCATGGTCTTGGTCTATTTTTTATAAGTATATAAAAAGAATGTATATAAAAATCATTATATATTTCATTTTTCTAGTTAATGGTAATCATTATGAAGGGTAAATAACATCTAAATATCATTATATTTTGCTTTTTAATTAATAAAAATTCTTTTAATCATAAGTAATTGGTTTGAAGATAAAAAACATGGTTATGGTCAATATTATTTTGAAAAAGAAAAATATTTATTTAAAGGTTTATGGTTGAATGATATGTGTAAATCATCTGAATTTACTCAACTGTTAAATAGAGAACATAAAACATCCGCCTCTCAAAAAATATAACAACTAGCGCCATCAAAAATCTTGTCCGATTCGTCATTTATATTGACGATAAATAGAACAAGAAGAAAAAATATAGCAAGCAAGCAAGCAATGCAATGCATAACAGCAAATTGAGAAGAGATAGAATAAAAAAAAAAGCGAGAAAAGAAGAGAAGACAACTAAATAAATAAATAAACAGTTTTCATCTTCTTGTCTATATATCTTAACTCATTTTTTTTGTGTTATATATATACACATATATGTGTGTATCTATTGACAAATGACAAATATTGAAACATTAATTTGATTTAGATCATGATTTAAAAAAAAACCTATATATATATTTGAAGTATGTAGTATTATTCAATAGAAAGAAAAGAAAATGAATATCTCAATTTGGAATGATCAATTTTGGTTACCTGAAAATATTACATGGAATGATTTTAGTCAACTTGAACAAAATGGTATTCGTTTACCACAAATTCATGATCTTATTTATGTTTATCCATTAGCTGGAATACTTTATATAACACGAGTTTTATTTGAAAATTATATTGCTCAACCATTCGGTCGATCAATTGGTATACATGATAATCAATCAAATATAAAACATATTGATAAAAAATCTAATCATTATAAATCATCAGATAATAAACGAGTGAAACGTTGTACACGTATTAGCCCATTAACTAAATTTAGTGAATCAACTTGGCGTTTTACTTTTTATCTTGGCATATTTTTATATGGTGTGATAATTTTAAAAAATGTAATTTTCTTTTTTTTTGTAAATTAAATTCTAAAACTTCTTTTTTGTTTTAAGAAAATTTGGCTATGGGATACACGCCATTGTTGGTTAAATTATCCAAATCATTCATTAACAAATGATGTTTATTGGTATTATATGATGGAACTTGCTTTTTATTGGTCATTACTCTTTTCACAGTTTATTGATGTTAAAAGAAAAGATTTTTGGGAAATGTTTACTCATCATATTGCTACTATATCATTACTTTCATTTTCTTATATTGTCAATTTTGTACGTGTCGGAGCATTAGTACTTGTTGTACATGATTGCGCAGATTATTGGCTTGAAGTAAAATTCTTGTTTTTTTAATTATGAATATTTAATATATTTTTTTTAGTGTGCTAAAATGGCTAAGTATGCGCGAGCGCAGCGCACCTGTGATACAATGTTCGTGATATTTGCTGTTGTTTGGTTTATAACACGTCTCTGCTATTATCCATATAAGTGAGAAATAGATCAGATTGCTTTTTTAACATATTATCTTATAATATTTTTCTAATTATAGAGTATTATATACGACGACATTCGAAGAAATGACTATTTTAGGTTTATTTCCTGCTTATTATGTATTCAATGGACTTCTAATATTGCTTCAAATTCTTCACTATTTTTGGTTCTATCTAATCTGTCAAGTAGCGATTTCAGCTTGCAAAGCCGGCGAAGTATGATTAATTCATTTTTCTTTGTATCTTTTAATATCCTCACTAAATCTAGTCGTATTGCATTTCAATGTGCATTTGTGGAGTCTAATAAGAGAATATGTGTACTTTTTCTGTTTGGTTAGAAGAGTGTGTTTATGTCTATATTTGCTTTTATTTTCTTCTTTGTTGTCATCGAAATTTGATAGGATCGAATTGATCAAGTAATTAGAATAAAGAATACGGATTACTTGTGTCTATAAAAGTTTAATACATTTTTTTTAATTGTAGGTAACAAAAGACCAACGAAGCGACAGCGAAGAAAGTGATGATGAACAAGATATTATCGATGGTGATGTTGATAAAGACAAGTGATCGATTCTTTTTTTTTCCTTTTTTCTTATTTTCTGATTATTAATGTTGTTTGTTATTTGTTATTTGATGTTGTTGTACATAGTTGCTCAGAGAGAATGATTTTCACTTTTCTCGAACTTACTATTTAGAACAGCCTATTCATAAACTTATTCTTTTATAATCGATTTCTTCTTTGTTTTCTTCTTTCATGATATTCATTTAAAAAAAACATAGATTCTATACAAAACACATACATTCGATTTTTTTGTTCTTGCAACATACACCTTCCATTTATAGCGTTTTGGTTTTTTTTCTCGTGCTATTGTAATTTTTTTTCTTCATCTGCAAAACAAATATCTATGCGAGCTTCAACGATAGTGAAAGATGCAATATAGACAATGATTGTTATTTTTATTTCTATATTGAAAAGAAAAACAATAAAAAAATATTAGGAAAATGCAAAAAAAAAACAAAAGAATGAGACAATCTATTTTTGATGTGCCTTCTCTATTTATTTTCTCTTTTTTTTCTTTGTGCATATCACAGACAAATCAGTAGCCGGTGTTTCTTTTTTTTGTTATGCATATTTGTAAGCAGCGTATATTATTATTATTCATTTGTTTGTTTTCTTTTGTTGCCATACATTTTTTTTCTCACCGTTTATTTATTTGTTTTGGGATGAATGACATATAAAAGACATTTAGTAAAATTTCTATTTCGATAGGTAACAGATTTTGATTGATCGCGAAATGTCAGTGAACTAAGTTTATTCAATATATACAATGATTGATTGTATTTAAAGTAAGAGTTGGCATTTTTAATCTATAGAAAAAAGAAAATCTCATATTTATGCTAAACAGAAGCAGACATATGTACTAATTATTTATTAATTCATTTGCTTACATATAATAAAGAAAACTTAGTTTATGCTATTTGCATCATTGTCCAATTGAATTATTGCTTTATTTACTTGAATGAGTTTCAATGCTATAATAACCTTCTCTTGTCATGAGAGATATATAAACAAGTAAATATTGCTAATAATTTCTTTGTTTTTTGAGTGTTATCAGTACACATAAAATCTTTTACATGTGAATTATCTCTGGCGATAATACAGATTACAATCTTGATAATTAAATAATTACTGATCGAAATCAATACAAAAGAGTCATGAAACATAATGTTTATTTATTATTAATAGTTAATCAGTTAATGTAATAGAATCTACCAGCTTCCTATTGATTGAATAACCTATTCCATTAACAGATTGAGTATTACATATATTGACTTTCGCCAAACAAAAGAGTATAATTAGAATTTGATTTCTCGATTATTTTCTTATGTAGAATTTAATAATCCATAGGTGATGTTCATGATATCATCAATTAATTAAATGTAAATCTTGTATGATGACACACAATATGATATTCTGTTAGATAATTTTTCTATGCGCATATTTTATGTTAAATGTTAGATGATTATATATCAAGTTCTAGTACATTATTTATGCAAATGATTCTTATATTTTATTCTTAAAATAATTTATTTTCAGTTTTAAATTCAATAGGTTAGAATAATATTTATTGTTGACGAAGTCTTTATGTGTTTCTTTTGAGTAATAAATTGTCCATATATACATACGCTTAATATTTACGATCTAAGGTTATTTTCAATGTCTAGTTAGTGTATAAAAACACTACAATGTAAATAAAAATTCATTACTTTGTACTTTTTGATGAATTTGTTACAGCAGGTTACTATACATTCAATTACAATACATAAACAAGGCATCAAAACTAATTTTCAGGAACCTATAACACAATATCTTATTCTTACTTCTGTTCTAATGCAATAATATCGATTATTTTACATGATCATATCAAATCAAGGATGTTACTAGTATACTTGTGTTTAAGAACATAGACCTTGATGAGAAAAATAATCCTAACTTAATTAATATACGAAAACTATCTGTCATATTGTATTCGCTTAACAGGACAGGATAGATTTCTCAATCAAGATTTTTAGTATCACCAATATAGTTATGTAAAAGTTTATCATGAAATTTTTCAAAGAGAATTACTTCAAGTCTCGTTTGGATTCACCATGCGTGTGAGGTTCATTTCAATGGTGTCAAGATCATTTAATCTATGAATAATATATCTTGAAAACCTGCTCCGCAAAATATGTCTATCTAGACTCATTAGAATTCACAAACAATGCCCGCAATGAATCTGAAGAAAACTAATATTGAGAATATTAAACATTGGTATGTTAAGCATATCAAAAAGATGCACAGGATGTCTTGATAGATATTAGAGTGAATAAGAAAAACTTAATCGAAACTATTTTATTTGTTTATTTGATTCCGACTGTCATTCTCTTTATTATATTTAGTGATGAAGTCAAATATTAAAGTTTCATTTTAACATTATAGCGTGGGTGCTCTCTTTTCTAATTAATTCTTTTAATAAACAAACATAGAACATTTATTCACTATTTTAGGTATCGAACCAGGCATGCTTCAGGCCTGATATTGTCAATTTTTTTAAGACGATAACTATCTCATTTCACAATATAAGAAAGTAAAAAGTACATCTCGATTCCAACAGCTATTCATTAATTTCCTAGTACATTTTCATATGTCTGTATACTTGATGTGTTATTTATGGATGTTTTTCATGTTTAAGTATACATACCTTATTTTTTGCGACCGTTATGCATATACACCCCTTTATAATGAATGGAATTATGAAATCAAATGATTTTCTCTTATCAGCCTTGTTATTTAAATGAAGGTAGGTTACATTCAAAATATGTCACTTAGGACAATATAATGAACTAATGTCAACAAACTTACTATAGATACTCCTGATAATATATAAGTCATATCTTTTTGCACGTTAAAAATATTGCCTGACTAATTAATAAGTCTTTTTGTCTATAGAACTTCTAATATTAACTGAAAGTTTATAAAATATAAGCTAATTTTTGTATCATATGATTTTTGAAAAATAAAAAAAGCTCAAATCTTCTGATGTCGTAAAACGTAATAGACTTAGAGTGCATTAGAATTTCTAGAGAAAAAAATATATATGTAGTAGAGTAATCTATTATTTAAAAATAAACGAACTAATAGAGTCCAATTAATCGTGAACTTTTATAGATTTATTCGCCTAGAGAAAATTCAAAAACACGTTATATTATGAGTCATTCGTTATATTTAAATATCACGAGCGTATTAATAATTATAAATTTATGAATTAAGTTTAATATCCTTTTTTTATAAATAACCAAAAGTCATAAGACTCGAGGTATTTTAATAATTTCCTAAAAAAGATATTAACATTATACGGCAAATAGTCATGAATGTTAAAGTAACAATTAGGTACGCTCTTTCGAACTGAAGGTAATAAAATGATCATTATAAAAATCATAAAATCTTAACAAAATAAAATTCAACTATTTATATATTATTTATTAGAAAATTTAAATTGAATATTTTCCAAAATAATTCATTTATATTAAGAATTGTTTGTATAATGAATAGATTGTTTCAGATATTAAGAATAATATACGTATAACTAGAAATAATTAATAAATTATTTAAAATCAAATAAATAGAAAATTTCACGACGTATTAATCATAAAGGATGAGCAAGTTCATTAATATGTATATTAAAATAATAAATTATTCTGTTTAATTGAATTTCCTTTTGTCGTAGGTTTATCATATCTCTATAAATAAATCTCAAATGAAAAAGTGGGAGAGAGAGAGGAAAAAAACGAGAGAGAAAAAACTTCGCTTTCTAAGTTACAACATCTCTTTTTCTTCTCTCCCTAGTGTGAACATCAAATATAGACGGTAGTTTTATATTTTGTCTTTATAACTAAGAATATATTTCCTTTTGTTGTGAAAGAAAAAAATCTTTATTTAAAATAAACATTCTATATATATTTATCTACGATACATGGCAATTATTTCATATATTTCGTTAATTTCATTGACATATTGTGTATTCATTATAACTATGTGTCAATTAAATTTATCATTGGTACATGGCGCATCTCGTTATAAAAATCATCAATATCCTATTCAAGAACAGGATGAAACATTGGTACCTATCAATGAATATTTTCAACAACATCATCCGGTAATTATTAAATAAATTGTAAAACTTAATTTTTTTTCTGTTTATATATTTCTAGATAAATCATCAACATAAATCTTTATATAAAACAGATCTATTAATCGATAGCAACGAAATACCAACTAGAGATCGAACATCAATATCTCGTGTTAATTGGTTTAAACGTGATTCACGTCTACCTAATCAAGGCAATAAACGCATGCTTTGTTTTTTTCATGCTGTCAATTGTTTTGGTTAAGAAGATTCTTGGATATTGTATTCAATTATGCATCCAAAAGAAGAACAATATCTTTTTAATGTAGAAAAGGAATTTATTCTTTAAAATAATAATTTGGAAAAGAAATTCCAGACGAACAGATATTATTCTTTTTTTTTAATATTAATATACAGAAATTCATTCAATTTGTCTATTATAAATAAATAAATAGAGACTTTTCTTTTATATGGAATATTAGACAAATGAAATGGACCTTTCATTTTTAATTAATATTTTTTAGTTCAGTAAAAAAAAATCTAGATCCTATTATAAAATTGAACTTTAAAGGAAAAAAACTAATATTTTTCTTCTGTTGATGACAGTTGCTATTAAAAATATAGACAAGTACAAAAAGACAAAATTTGTTTCTGTGTTATAGAATCATATTCATTAACCTGAAGGCGTACTACTTTTATCAATCTATTTGTATATAATCCCTTTTTTTGTTTTTTGTATAGACATAAATATATTTTTATATAATCTCTAAGGTATACATATATTATTATCGATATAATCTCATTTATATTCATTGTATAGTTAGAAACTCAAAATAGAAAAATCTTATTTTCAGCCATTGCGAAAGGTTACGAATCGTTGAGATTGGGTGCAAATGAATGCAAATGAATCGGAAAGTTCGAATGAAATTTCCGCCTCCTCTTGTATAAACTTCATCTAAGATTCATTAAGTCTTTGGAGACAAAATGAAAGTTTCCAAAAGTTAAAAAGAAATATATGAATTACAAAGAGACTGAATACAACATTATACAGATCGTTATGATACTGGTGACATATTCATCGCTTGTATTAGTATGTATAATTATACTTGCATGATAAAAGGTCTACACAAGTTTCGTTACATTCATTCAAAGCCAGACGTAAATATGTCTTGCATTCCCAAGAGATTAAAATAGCAATATAAATGCTAATATATGAAAAATAACTATATTTAGGTTAATAGAAGTCTAATAATTGTCAAAAAGAAAGCTTTTAATACAAATCTGACATGAAAATCATGAAATCTTCATGTTTATACTTATTTACTTTTTATCATAATTTTACTACAGAAAGATTATTGAGTTTGAACATGATATTTTTCCTTACTCTTATATAAGAAATCATAGTTGATTATATATACATTTACAATTAGATATGATATTTATTTTATGATTTTCATTGAACTCGACCTCCCACTGTTTTTTTAACTATTATATATTAATATATAGCACATTTCTTTTCACAAGAATTGAATAAAAACAATGAAGGAAATGTAGTTCTATTGACTATTTTAGAATTTTAGTATTAACAATTTATCATTAAAATGACGATGATTCAATTCAAATACAATGTTACTTTTAAGTGATAAATTAATATTTAAAGACTTTTACCTTGAAATTTATAACATTCCCAAAGATAAAAGTACAGATCATATTGTATTCTAACTAAATCTACATTTATAATACTAATCGCACATTATATTTTACTGTATAAAATAAAAAACAATCCGTGATATTAAAAAATATATCATAGAAATATTTTGTATCTAAGTCTTTTAATTAAATAACAATCAATTAGATTTGATTAAAAAAATTCAGCCATTGGTACTTTTTCACATCGTTTGAAGGTCATCTATATCTTCTTTATGTAATCTATGTGCTACTTTTATTAAAAAACTTATATAAGAAAAAAGCATAATATATCCATTTTTTACTATTATTATTTGTACATTGAAATATTCAAAGAGAAGAAGAAGTGTCGAATTATTTTTCTAGGTCAGACTGACTGACCGAGAAGGGAAAAAAAACATACAGATATTGAAGAAAATATCTGCTCTTGACGTATAATCTTAGTTTTGTAATGCAAAATATTCCTTTCTTTATTAGTCGGCATAGTAGTACGTGAAATATGAAAAACAAAACACAGGTGCAAATTAATAAATCGAATATCGTATCATTCAACGATTTTAATGTACTTTTTACTCATTTTAATTGAGATAAAAGAGTAATAGGTTTCAGTAGGAAGTAAAAACGAACCATTGAAATTTATCATATTCAAATCAATTATAAAATCTATCGAATGATTGGATATAGAAAAATTGTCATTATATTGAAAGATAGCTGTAATCTTAAAGTATTAGGTTTTTTCTTCTGTAACCTATAATAAAAGAAATATTGATATCAATAATAGTAAAAATATTTGCTTTTTTCATACAATTCATCGATTGATTATTTAATGAATATTTTATTTAACTATTTGTCTATGATTAATAGATTTAATTCAAATTTTATAATCGTCATGAATATAATTTACCTAATGATGCATTCAAATGCTTCATTAATAAACAAAATATCTTGTCTGCCTATCTATTCAATATTAATTCTGGTAGTATCGATTTCTTGATGAAATTTGATCAAAGTATTTTTATTGTGATCATTATTTCTGCTTCATATCAACTGTTATTGTTATTTGATACTATTAAAAATTTCTTTTATTCAGTGAAATTTTTTTTTTCCTTCTTATATACTCGTGATTAGTAAAAACAAAACGAAGTTTTTCTTTTTTTTGAATTTTATCATTTTTAGTTCGCAGAAACATAAATAATAGATATTTCTTTTTCCCTTCATCTTTAATGTTTTTTTTCAAATTCTTTTGTTCTTTCTATTAAGAAAAGATTATACATACATGATGTATAGATGGATTAAAAACAAAAGAAATGTCATAAGAATTATGTTATGTAATGTAATGTAAAAATATCTATGACATAGAATAGGTGATAAACTGAACTGATTAACATTAAATAGACGAGTTGAATCACAAAAACAAATTTGATTATTTGAGAATAGTTTTTCTTTTATGATACATGTATATAGATAGTAGACGAAATTAACAAGAGATGTCAAATAAACAAATAAAGTATGTAATAAAAATAATAGCATGTTATATTTTTGTTATAGAAGAGAAAAAAATAACAAATTTTTTTTTGTTTATAGTAGTAGATCGAATGAGTAAAACAAAAAAAGAGGAAGAAATTTGATCATCATTAGCTAAAAAAGAAAAGTAGGAGTATTCTTATCAATTTGAATACATTCTTTATATTCTTTACGTTGTTTTGAAAGAAAATTACTGTCATTGTTGAGAACGTCAATACATGTTTGACGTTTTTGATTGTAATAGTTATGCAGAAATATGTCATAGATTTTATTTATTTTTTTTTGTTACTGATAAAAATAAAGAGAAAGGAAGAAAAATAAGATAGTAGAATATCCTTACTGTCTTGTAAATAACGTTATCATCACGAATTGATTTTAATTCGAGATGCCTATTGAAGTTTTTTGTATTGATTCATATCATTCGAAAGAGTAAGTAGTAACCTTAATCTATCTCGAGTGTCATAGAAAAAATAAGAAACGAAAAATATTATCAATTCATAAAACATAATAACTTTATTTTGACTATTTTATTTCTATTTTTGTATGTATATAATATAAAAAATTTCTATTAATATAAATCAAAGTGGCAGACACACAAGAAGACTATTATACATTAAATCCCTTATTTCCTTGCAGTGATCCGAAACCAGTTGTATCTTCTGTGAAAAAAAATGTTTACATTTTATTTGGTATTCTTACTGGTATATTACTTTTATCAACAATTGTATTAGCAGTTTTATTTAGTATTGAAAAAACTAAAACAATAAAACCAATAGCAGGTAAGATTTTGTTTTATTAATTAAATTTGAATTAGTTCTTATTCTTTCTTCTAGTTAAAGATGAATTATGTTTAACACCATTTTGCATTAAAGCAGGTAAGAAAAAAATAGATAAAAATTTAAGATTATTTTAAAAATGTTTTTTGTTTTTAGCAAATTATTTACTTGAAAGTATTGATGAAACTATTGAACCATGCGAAGATTTTTTTAAATTTGCCTGTGGAACATGGTTAAAGAATAATCGAATACCTGATGATAGTAAATTGAAATTTTCTTTTTTCGTTAAATATATATATTTTTTCTATTCAGCCGGTGCTCAAGATACATTCAATGTATTACGAACTCAATTAGACAACAATGTCATTGGTAAGAAATGTTTTAATCTAGCAGGAATTACTATAGATCTTTTTTCTCATCGAGAGAAATGTTTTATTACTATTTGCAGCAATATAGAAAATGCTATTGACATGCATTCCTATGAAATAAGATTGACAACATATTAACACTTATATGATAAAAAAATATATTGCTCCTAACATTTCATGATTATAGTCAAATTATTAACCTCTTCCAGAAAAACACTATAATAAATCTATGTTTTCTATATTAAGCGTATAATTAATTTACTATTCCAAAATAGTTTGTTGATTCGTTCTAATGTCAAAAATAGGTGATGCGTAATATAGAAACACGAATATTTGTACTACCGTACTCAATGATTTACTTTTATCTTGAAGTCAAGAAAGAGAATATAGCATATGAGTCAAAAAGGTTACAGTTGAAATGCATGATCAAAAAAATTAACTTTTCTCTTATCAGTATTATTATATGGAAGTATTTAGAGCTGTATGTTCTGCTATTAACTGTCGGTATTTTTCATAGATATTTTAACATCACCACTTCCAGATGATACTATTCATATCAAAGCTATTTCTAATGCACGTCGTTTATATGAATCATGTGTTAATGAAATAGCAATTGAAACTGATGGTGTTGATACTGTTCTATCTGTTGTTGATAATGAACTTGGTGGATGGCCTATTTTACATGGTCAATCATGGGATGAAACAAAATTTAATCTTTCAAAATTATTATTTAAATTACGTGAATACAATAATAATATGTTATTTCAATGTGGTACAGCAACTGATGATAAAAATTCATCGGCTTATTATATTCGAGTATAAACTAATTTAATAACATAAAAACGAAATTTTCTTTTTTGATTTTTTTTAGATTTCTCAAAGTGACCTTGCTCTTGAACAAAAACAATATTATATAAATGAATCGAAAATAACACAAGCTTATAAACAATTTATATATGAATTAGCTAAATCATTAACAAATGATTCAACAATGATTGAAAACGATGTTCGAGATATATATGAATTTGAAAGAAAAATTTCTCATGTAATAATTTCGTTTTCTTTTAAGTTCTATTGAAATTTTATTTCTAGTTTCATTGGACACCTGCGGATCAACGAGCAAGACAAAATGATACGATACGTACATCACTTCATAATCTATCACGAATATTAAATACAAGTGTAAGTCATATTGATTGTTATTATATTAAACTATTCTAAATATTCTGATTTAGTTTGATTTTACAAATTATGTTCGTCAAATTTATCTTTCAGCGAATGTTACTTTATTAGATAATGATAATGTATCAATAAGTGAAGTTGAATTTTTACGAAATGCATCATTACTTATTGATCAACATTCTCCACGTACCGTACAAAATTATTTAATATGGCGATTTATGATGAATAGAGCAGCGAATATGCCAAAACGTTATCGTACTATAAAAGAACAATTCGAAAGAGCACTTCGTGGTACAAGTGCTGAACGTCCACGTTCAGTAACATGTGGATCATATGTTAATGGTAACATGGGATTTGCTGTAGCAAAACTTTATATAAAAAAATATTTTGATGAAAATGCAAGAAATCAGGTATGAAATAAACTCAAATTTGACTTGATAGAATCATGAGGATCTCGAAAGATATGTGCGGGTTCGTTTTGTTTCCAAATTTCCATCCGCACGCATCTTTCGTATACTTAATATTAATTAGTGATATTCAGTTAATCATTGGCTTCTTTTGTTTTCAGTCACTGGAAATGATTCGTAATATTCGAAATGCATTTATTGATATGCTTGAAGACTCTACATGGATGGATGATGTTTCGAAAGATAAAGCAAAAGAAAAAGTAAATTAAAAAAGAAGAAATCTATTATTTTAATAAATTTCATTATAGGCACGAGAGATTGATGAAAAGATTGGTTATCCGGAATATTTAGGTAGCGATAATATTACAGAATTAGAACAGGAATATGAAGGAGTAAGAAGAAATCAAAATATATTATTACTATATATTTATTCAATTATGTAATTTAGTATGAATTCAATAGTTCTTATATTCATAATATTTTAAAAGTACTACAAATAAAATCTCAAGAAAATTTTAAAACACTTCGTAAACCTGTTGATCGTAAAGGATGGGGTCTTACTCCACCGACTGTCGTCAATGCTTTTTATACACCATCAAAAAATCAAATCAGTAAATAAAACTTATTCATTATGCTATCTATGATCTTTTTCCTTTAATTTTAGCTTTTCCAGCCGGTATTCTTCAAATGCCTTTTTTCAATAAAGATGCACCGAAGTAGGATGTTTCATTCTTTTCTATATATTTTGTTTAAAATAAAAAAAATTTTATTCTTTATTTAGATATCTTAATTATGGTGGTAAGTTAATATGATAACGATGAAAAAAAGTAAAGAAAATATTTTTTTAGGTATTGGTGCAGTTATTGGCCATGAAATTACGCACGGTTTTGATGATAATGGTCGACAATTTGATAAAGATGGAAATCGAATACTTTGGTGGACACCTGAAACAATTGAACGATTTAATGAACGTAAAACATGTGTAGTTGATCAGTATAGTCAATATTTTCTTGAACAAATCAATACTACCGTAAGTATTCATAAGACAGATTTTTTATTCTTCGAATATTTTTTTTTATCGTAGATAAATGGAAATCAAACTCAAGGTGAAAATATTGCTGATAATGGTGGAGTAAAAGAAGCATTTTATGTAAGTTAATTATATTACGTTGTTTTATTTATGTTATGATTTCTAGGCCTATAAAAAATGGATAAAAGCAAATGGAAATCTTGATAAAAAATTGCCGGGTTTAATAAAATATTCATCTGAGCAAATGTTTTTTATTAACTATGCACAAGTATGGTGTTCAAAAATGACTGATCCATATGCAATGAGTAGAGTTCTGACTGGAGTTCATGCTCCTGGACAATTTAGGTAAATATAAATAGGACTGAATCTAAACGTTTATAAAATTCTTCTATATATTTTAGAGTACTTGGTCCAACATCAAATTTTGTTGATTTTGATCGAGTATTTAGTTGTAAACCAGGACAAGGCAATAGTCGATTAAATAAATGTACTGTTTGGTAGTTAACAAGACACAAATAGTTTTTTTCTTTTTTATATCTATTCATATCGGTTGTAATCATTCACATGTAAAGACAATGACAAAAAAAACCGAAATAATAACAAATGAACGAATAACAACAAAAACTTTTTCGTCTTTTTTTTTGTTTTTTGTTTCGAATATTTCGTATGTTGTTCTTTTCTTTCTTTTTATCAATTGAAAAAAAAAATATTCCGAAATATATTTAATGAAATATTTTATTCATCTTTCTTTCGTTTTTTCTTTTGTTGTTGGACATCAGATGAATTGTTATTATTAACATGACTATTAGCTGATCCAGCTGGTTGTTTTTTAGATTTTTTTGATGATTTATCAGCTGAATTTGCTTGAGCTTTTCTATCACCAGCATTTTGTTGCATATCTTCATCACTTGTAACACTTATTGTATCGAAATTATCTTCTTCATCATCATCAGATGAATAACCACCAAAATCGAATGGAGGTTCTTAAAACAGAAATTCAATTATAAAACGAATAAACTTCTTTTTTTTCTTACCAAGTATTTTTGAAGTTATTAAATGTACTGGACCATCACCTTCAACTAATTTAAAGGTTACTTCAGTAGCTTCACTTAATGAAATACGAAGATTGAATGCTGTGATCTATGTGTATAATATTTAAAAATATGTTATAAATTAAAAAAAAGAAAGATTTTCTTACTGAATCATTTCTATTAACTGATAATGAAAGAATAGGTTGATCAATAATTGTTTTATCACTATCTTTGATGGTTAAATGTACTAAATTTCGTTGATCAGCCTTTGCTCCAACACCAAGAACAGCCTAAATTAATAAGAAGAAAAATATTATTTGTATGACATTTCATTGCTCAAATGAGGTTTTATATTCGTTATAGGATAGTCCATGTAATATGTTACTACTAAATAGACCTGAATAAATACATAGTTCTAAGTTATAATCAGTGGCAGATTTAAGGGGGTGATCGCCCCCTTTTCGAATTATTTTTGATTTTTTACAGCAAAAATGAACGAAAAAAATAGGTTCACACTACTTCGATTGGACTCAGAAAATAGCTTTTAGCCAGAATCGCCCCCACTCCCCATGTATCTCTCTTCCATACTCAAAAAAAATAAACATCGCCCCCCCCCCTTCCTAGATCCGCCACTGGTTATAATTAATGAATGCTATATATATGTGAGAAAAGACAAGCTAGTAATAACCAGACTCCTGATCGTTTCTTCCATAATAATTATCACATATCAACGGAAAAAATGAACTTGGAACTAAATTCAATTCAGTCAAGATTAAAAGATTTTGAATTAATACACTCTCTAACAAGAAGCCTTATGCTATCATTATTCAGGATTATAAAAGTACTGTAAGTCTTTTCTCTCTGAATTTAACATACACTGTGTACGATAATAATTTTTTGTAAAGCAGACATTTCATCATTGCTTTCATTATCATCATCTTCATTTGCTTTTGGTTTTTTATCAGTATCTTGAATAGGCCATTTGAATTGCTTCTTACTGGCACTTAATTCAACACCGATAATTTTCTCGTCCAAAACCATTTGTTCACGCATAGTAGTAGGAAAGAAAAAAAAAGCAAAAAAATCTAAAATAGAATATCCTGTAATTTCTACCCGCAAAAAATTTCACAATTTACAAATAAATGATTCATATATATGTACATAAAATAAATTAAAATGAATGTGTATGTATGTATATATTAATAAGTGCCTTCGAAAAGAGTTTATTTTGAAATAATGAATTAATTTAATTGAATAAACAAATTCAAGTATTCGTTTAAAAATATATATCTTTTTTCCTTTTCAAGATGGAATCAATTTTATATGTATTATTTGTCTGTTTATTATAGACGTCGCTCTAATCCAGTGTTTAGACAAACGAGAAATTAATAGCTTAAATATATTTCTTTTGTAATGATCGTTATGTGCTTGTCGTTTTCCCATCAAAAACAATTGATATGTAGACATTTTTCAAGAGGAAAAAGATCGATTCAAAATGACATCACACTCGATAATCTCACAATGAGAAGGCTTTTCCTTCTCTCCAACTAATGAACCTTGCCAGTTATATAGAGAAGGGAAGGAAAAGAAAACGCGTGTCGAAATTGATCGATGAGGAAACATTCACTCCTGTTGTGTGCATTATTACGAAATTCAAGTGTATAAACGCGTGTGACGAACATGGAAACATTATAATTGTAGACTTATGATGCATTGATTTTTTTCTCTCTCTTCATTTCTAATATACAAAAGATCAAATTTCGATTTAATCATGTCTAAAAAATTAAATATTCATTAAACCATTTCATTAGAAAATCTATTACAGAATTATTGTAGTCAAATACATATTCTATTCATAGGATGGTAAATATTGATTCTCTTTTAACTTTATGGAGAACATATGATGCAAGATTTTATGTAAATAATTTATTTCATAACATTCGATTTTTTCTCGACAGTGATCTATCAATGAGGAAAAAAACAGCGATACATTGAATTCCTTGTCAAGATAAATAATCTGTTATTTTTTTTTGCTAAAGAATAATAACAGATTCATACTCTTCAATATATCTTTCAAAGAGAATCCGTAAACAATCGAATCCTAGATTTTATATGAGTAAGACACCGGTTAGATATATATGAATAATACAGTTACAATTGTAAATATTTTCTTCTATTATTTGCATTGTCATATATATTATGATTATTATTGATCAAACCTCGAACACAATTATATACAAATCATCAAAAACTTTAATATCTTCTTATTCATTCAGTATTGAAATTGTTCTATTATTGTTATATGTCATTTAACACAATTGATCACAAGGTAATATTACAAAAGCTATTAATAATACAGAAAAAAAAGACGGCGAAAAAAAGACCAAGTTTATGCATGTACACTAATTTTTCTTATTTCAAAAGAGAAAAAGTAAAGGTGTTTGCAAATCGATACTATTATGAAGGTAGTCACGGTATAGTGAGCTTCTATTTTCTTCGGCTCATTTATTTAATTTGCCCCCGTCGAACAAACAGATTGGTAGTCAGCAGTAAGAGAGAGAGAAAATTTTCTATTGGTCTACAAGCGTTTTTTTTCTATACGTGCAATGTTGTCTGTCTTGCCTTATTTCTCTCGTTTAGTATTTTTTTCTTCTTCTCTCTTTATAATAAGAGAGAGAGAGAGAGAGCAAAAGCATACATCCGATTTGCTCTTAGTGTTGTTCGACATGCATTTTTACATGCAAAAAATACAGCATAGACCCACCTCTCAATTCTTTTCATCTTTTTTTTTAGAAAGTAAAAAATGAGTTCAATGACAAACAATCCTGTAGAATTATCTTCGTTTTATTCTCATCTTTCAATGATGCCTTCATTAATAAACAATGCTCCTAAAATGCCAACGAATATGTATCGACCAAATTCATGGATGGATCCAACAATGCAACCATTTTTCTATTATAATTTAGCGTAAGTTGAAAATAAAATAGAAAATATCTTTATTTTTTTTTCTTTTGTAGACTTAATGATCCCAATCATAAACGAAAAAATGCGACTCGTGAAACAACAGGTAATTTAATGACAAACGTGTTTATTCCCATAAGTCAATATCATCATTATTATTTGTTTCTCATCATCATATAAGAAAAAAAAGCGTCCGCTTATTCGCTTGATGACAAAAAAAGACGTGACTAACCGAAAAATCTCATCTCGTTTGATATGCAGATCGATTGCATACGTTACATTCCTCTAGTGTCTATTGCTCGTTTCCAAAAGAAAACGCATTAAAAAACATTTGATTAAATTCCTTTGAGCCTTTTTAAGTGGATGGGATCATTTCGCTATATAATTCTTTTTTTTTTCATTAAAGCAACACTTAAAGCATGGCTTTATGAACATCGAAAAAATCCATATCCAACAAAGAATGAAAAAATGGTTTTAGCTATGGTTACAAAAATGACATTAACACAAGTATCAACATGGTTTGCTAATGCTCGTAGACGATTAAAAAAAGAAAATAAACTTCATCGAACAACAAATAATAGTAAAAGTGAAGAAGAAGAAGAGGAAGATGATGATGATGACGATGACGATGATGATCATGATGATGATGAGAATGATAATGAATCTCATGTTGTTATTCAACAAGAACAGAATATTCAAAATAAAAATTCAAATAATTTAAAACGTAAACGTGATGATAATGATAATGATACAAATTCATTTCAACCACCACCAACAAATCGTCCGAAAATTTGGTCTATTGTTGATGTTGTTCAATCGAATGAAACTAAACGAACGAATCCATCATCATCATCATCACCACATATAATACATCCATATATTACACCTTCTATACCATATTTATTATATCCACCACCATCAACAAGTTCACCATCACATTCATCTGATCATTCAACACATTCAAATTCATTATCATCTCCTAATTCATCTTCAACTAGTTGTTCACCGACGAAATAATTTAAAAAAAAAACAAAACATTCAAAACACAAATAACATAAACATTTGTCTTTTTTTTTTCTTCTTTTGTCTTTTCTTTTCTTTTCTTTTTTGTATTTTGTTGTGAAAAATATAAATGTATATTAAAACGATCTTAAAGTCAAAAGATCATATTGAAAAAGTGTCAAGTTAACGTGTGTGCTTCACACACACTATGGATAAAGATTGTCTCTTTTTTTTCTGACTAGTCAAGTGTCTAATAGCTGTCCATTAGGTTGTTTCATGTTGATACTCTCTTCATATAAGAGATTTTTATATTCGATAAGTCGATACACACAACACCTTTTCTTTAATACAATGTTTGTCTTATCATCTATCGATGCGTAGATCAATGGTGGTAAACAACATTGAAATCTATTTATATATAGAAAAGTCAACGCATTTTAACTTCAATGATGAGTTCACTCTTTTGATCTTCTTCTCCTTCGTATAATTGATATTTCACACTAACAATTATTTGCCGAATGATGATCATCATCACAATACTACAGCTGCTACATATATCGTTGTTTTTTCTTTATTGAATACATGACAGAAAAAAATGAAGCTTATGCTTTAATCAGACCATAGAAATATCCGTTTCTATTTGCCTACGGCCCCCATACACCTTCTCTCTTTTTTTTGTCTGTACATTGACATATGTTAAACACGATGTTTAATACACTTTGTATGGCAACAGCAGTAGAAGAAGCAAACAAAAGAAGAAATACAGTTGAGTTGTACCATATTGAAATAAAATATGCTAATCAATCATAGTGATGCTGTAGAAGAAGTCAACACGCACATTCACTCTTATACATCGATCGAACGAGCACATTATTATGAATAAAAAAAAAA